GGCGCGAGGCCTCGGGCCCCGCCTGGGCCGCCGTCTCCTGTCGGCCGCCGCCACCCAGGCCGTGCCGGCCCCCAACCAGCAGCCCGAGGTCTTCTACAACCAGGTGAGTCTCTCGCTTTGTCCTCGGGCCCGAGTCTCTGCAGGCCCCTCGGCGGGAGGACCGAGCCTGCCGGGTAGAAAGGCCCTGGGCCGTGGAGGACCCCAGTTTACCCATTTGGGGCTCGAGCAGTTTGCTGTGGTTGATCTTTACGCACACGTTCTCCTTCCCGTCCTGCGAGCATTTTGACCCCTTCGCCCCCCGACAGTCCCCGTGCCACGATCCCGCTGTGATTTGAGCCCCTTATCCGTTTCTCCAGCGCCAACTCTTGGGGTTCATACTCCCTCCCGTCGCCCGTGGTCCTTGGCTTTCGGGCCCCTTAGTTGCCGCAGTGTCTGCGCAGGGTCTCCACCGTCGCCCACCCAGAACACGTTTCAGTCGAAGACCCTCTTTGCAGGAACTTTTCTTTTCTTTTTTCTTTTTTTGGTCGTCTCTTACTCCTTGACTCATGCCCTCGTCCAAGGAAGTTCAAAAGGAAAAACTAGGAGAAAGAGGTAGTTTTTAGCTACAATTCACCAGTTCACCGAGGGAGAAGCCAAGGCCAGTCGGCACTCCCGCTGCTTCCACGGCCAGGAATGGGGAGAGGGCGTGGGACCTTCGCCTGCAGGGCTGAGTTCCCAAATGGAGCTGGCTGGCTCTCTTTGACCAAACTAAGGAGGGACTTTGCAGGATAAAACTGATTCCCAGTGGCCGATTTCTTGCTCAGACAAGACTTTGGAATATTTTTTTTTCTTTTGATATTTGAGTTCGGGTAAAGTGCAGGAATTCAGAGAAGGAAATCGGTTATGAAAGAGTTCGTTTTGTTTGTGCAACAAGTGCAAATCGGCTTCCCTTCTCTGAGCTTGTTTGTTCTTCTGTAAATGGGAAGGGAGTCAGAGGATAACGTGTACAGTCAGCACAGCGCCTCGCTCACTTGGTGGGAACTTCACAGTTAATAACAGCTCTTGTCTGTGCACACCTTTGCGCCTGGCATTGTTCTAAGCATTTACTTGTTACGTCGTTTGATTTGATCCTTTCAACAGCCGGGTGAGGGAGGTGCTGTAATTATCTCCATTTTACAGATGAGGAGACTGAGTCACAAAGAGGTTTAGTGACTTGCCTAAAGACTGAAGTCAGTGGATAAGTTGGAGTTCACATCTGGACTCCCAAGAGTAAATCCCTAATCAGAACATTCCGTGGTATGTTGTAGCTTTGGGTGGGAATAAAGAGACCACTAGTCCTCTGGGATTACTGCTGATTTAGGATGCTGTGGAGCCGGCTTCTAGCTGACTGCTTTCAAGAGTGCACCTGCTTGTCTGGCCCAGATCGTGGCTGCAAATGTGCACCCAGGCCTGGTAGATAACACGGGTCCTGCTCTCCAGATTTAGTCTGGGGGTGTAGGTTGGGGGAGTGGAGTGAATTCTCCCTGCGGCTGCTTTTCTTTGTCAGATTTTTTGAGATCATAAAAGCAACACATGCTCACTATAAAAAATGCAAAGAGTACTGACTTAAAAGTCTGGGATACCAGATACCCCATTGCACTCTCCGCAAGAGCACTGTTAACTGGTGGTTGTGTGATCTTGAGATATTTTCTTTGCATTTACAAGCATGTGTGCGCGCGCGTGTGTGCACTGTTAACTGGTGGTTGTGTGATCTTGAGATATTTTCTTTGCATTTACAAGCATGTGTGTGTGTGCGTGTGTGTGTGTGTGTGTGTGTGTAAGAGAAAAAGAGAAAGAACTAGAATTTTTTTTTAATGAATGAGATGCTCCAACTTAGGTTCTGAAGCTCTCTGTCTCATTGAACAGTGTGTCTGGATTATCTGAGTACATTCAGGTCTTATTTAATTCTTTCCAAGAACTGCCAAGCATTCCACTCTGTGGCAGCACCTTGCTGGAACTGGCCACTCCCAAAGCTCCTTGGGCTGTTTCCAGTGTTGTCTTGTTGCAAACCCTGCTGGCAAGAATGCCAAGGCTTCTTACCAGGGGCTCTGTACTAACTAGCTCATATACCTGGGCATTTCCCCGGGGGGTGGGGGGGGGGCAGGGGGTTATTGGTTCCTTGAAGTTCAATGAACTGTTCTTGAGTCAGTTTCCCAAAGAGGAGCTACTAGGTTGGTCTGTAGTTGCTTCTGCGGGCACTGAGTTTTCTCTCTCAAAGGTATTTGGAGGGTTAAGGGCACTGGGGAGAAAGTTGCTATTCAAACTTGTTGGGTCTCTCCTGGAAGGGGGTCCAGGCAATAGGTCTTCTCCTTTCCACATCTTTCTCTACCCAAAAGGGATTGAGTGGGATGGTTTGGTCCACCTTCTTGGTGTCCTCTTGCCTCTCCTTGTCTTGGCTGGGGCCTCAGGGTGGGTAAACTTGGCTGGGTTAGGCAGATTTTAGGGTGAGTTAAGAGGAGCTACTAGGTTGGTCTGTAGTTGCTTCTGCGGGCACTGAGTTTTCTCTCTCAAAGGTATTTGGAGGGTTAAGGGCACTGGGGAGAAAGTTGCTATTCAAACTTGTTGGGTCTCTCTTGGAAGGGGGTCCAGGCAATAGGTCTTCTCCTTTCCACATCTTTCTCTACCCAAAAGGGATTGAGTGGGGTGGTTTGGTCCACCTTCTTGGTGTCCTCTTGCCTCTCCTTGTCTTGGCTGGGGCCTCAGGGTGGGTAAACTTGGCTGGGTTAGGCAGATTTTAGGGTGAGTTCTCCTTCCCCCAGCAGGGACTGGTAGGGAGAGCTATTGTGTCCAGGCTTCCTGAAGAGCAACATTTTTCATCCTTGACAGGTTTCAGAAACATACACCTCTGTGAATGAAATGGATTTTCATTTTTCATTCTTTTTTTCTCCCTTACTTGGAGAGTATTTAAGATCTGGAAAGACAACTCAAAGGAAAACCCAAGGGACTGTGGTTTCAGCAAAGTAATCCCCCTGGCTGGAGCATGGCTAACATTGCTTTGCTTCCCACGGATTTGTCACCCCTCTTCCCCTGGGTGATGGAGCCTCAAAGGATTACTCAAAGCACATCTCTTCTGAGCAGTGAGAAGCCCCAAAGAGGTTAATCTCCCGGAACCCTCAAGAGAGAGGCATTCCTTCCTTTTGGGAAATTAACCAAGAACTGGGGTTCTCCCCTTGCATTTATTCTCCAGACTAGGAAGTTACAGGAAAAGAACATAGGTGGGGTTATAGTTTAACAATATAGGCTGGTAACATTCAGGAAAACAAGCAAGGTGACATTCCATAATGCAATTTGCAAGAGGTTAAGTCCAATCCACCAACAAAAGCTTGATCTTAGCAAACATTCTCTCTCCGTACAGAAATTTCCCAGTATCTTTACATATCAATCAGTAACCTGTCTGTCTTCTGAGCCAGCAACCTTGCTGTGCTACAATTCTTTATCTTACAACAGAGACTAGCCTGGGGAAAAATTTCCTGTCTTTTGTAAGGTTAACATTTTATATGTACTTTTGAGAAGTTAGGCTAAACCTGAAACTACAAGAAACTAGGCCCTGTGACATATACTTGCTTTATGTATACTCCACAGGCTAATAATTTCATCTTCCACATTAACAATCCATGTTTGTTGGTAATAATAATGAATGAGGGAATGTCGTGAGACACTGTTTTGCACTCTGGACTCAGACTGCCTGCCACTCACTAGTTGATGAGACCTTGGGGAGGTTCATTCATTTGATAGGCATTTTCCTAAGCACCCCCAGTTGCAAGGAACAAAACAGACAAGAATCCCTGCCCATGGGAGGCTTGCATCCTGGAAGGTGGAGAGAGACAAATAAATTAGTGAACTGCATGTACGGCACAAGGTGATCCATGCTATGAAGAGAAATAAAACAGGGAAGAGGGGAGCATGTGCAGGTGGGGGTGCTCTGTACCTCAGCTGTCACATCTGTAAAATGGGGTGAAAATCCCATCTGTATCAGAGGGTTGCTGTGAGGATGAAACAGGGTCATCCTTATACAGCCCTTAGCAGTGCCGCGCTCATGGCTGCTGGTGCCTCCATATTTATCACAGCCTTAAGTAAAAACTGGGATGACAGTGATGCTGTTGAGCTTATGATCTAACAGTGATAAACTTCATTTAATATGGTGCTCTTGTATTTGCAGTTTCCTGAGGGGGTAAACTAGGTTGTGGTGAAGTTGAGTGGGAGTTTGGGGTGAATTAAACTTGTTTCTTTATTTTTAGCCCCTTGACCACAACACTCAGGAACTAGAGAACTGACCAAAAGGGAATTATGAAAGGATCTTCCTATATGGAATTTTCTGATTACAACAGTAATACATCCTCAGTAGGAAAAGTCAAGCATTACAGGAATCTGCAAGGTAGACACTCACTGGAAATATACATATGCACTGCTCACATGTTCATTGCAACATAGTTTATATTAGCAAAAATTTAGGAAATAAGCCAGTTTGGGTTTCATAGGGAAGAAGATGAACAACCTCTTTTACAGTTACAGGAAGGAATAATTCTTTTTTTTTTTTTTTTGTCTTTTTCGTGACGGGTAAGGGGATTGCAACCCTTGGTGTGGAGTCGCCCACACCACGCTCAGCCAGTGAGCGCACTGGCCATTCCTATATAGGATCCGAACCCGCAGCGGGAGCGTCGCTGCACTCCCAGCGCCACACTCTCCTGAGTGCGCCACGGGCTCGGCCCAGGAAGGAATAATTCTATGCGTGCAGCAGTTACAAAGAATTAGCGGCGGGAGCGTCGCTGCGCTCCCAGCGCCACACTCTCCCGAGTGCGCCACGGGCTCGGCCCAGGAAGGAATAATTCTATGCGTGCAGCAGTTACAAAGAATTAGCTTGATCTGTATGAACAATGGATCTTAAAAACATGTTTCAAGAGGGAAAAAATGTCCAGCACTTTACACAATATGAAGCCAATTAAAATTACACTAAGTAAAACTTTATATTGAATGTGGATAGACACATCTCCATATAAAATGTGTAAGAATGTACTGCACGCTGTGAGGGTGATGATTACCTGAGCTGATGGGGCCAGATAGGGAACATGCTTGTGAGTAGTGGTG